ATAAAATTTAATTGAATTGAATTACTAGTTCCTCCTAGTTAAATAGTCAGTTATTTGGTTAGCAAATTAGTTAGTTAGCAAGTTACTCAGTGGGCCAGGTAGTTATTTGCTTAGTTCATTTGTTAGCTAGTAGGTACGCTAATCAGTCATTTAGTTTGTTTGTCAGTTAGCTAGCTAGGTATTTAGTCAGTCAGTCAGGTAATTATATTCTTAGTCAATAAGTTAGCCAGTAACTTAGGTAAGTCAGTCAGTTAGTCAGTTATCCCGCTAGCTACATAGTCAGGCAGGTATTTTGTTTGCCAGTTAGCTAGCTAGGTAGATAGATAGTCAGGTACATAGTCAGTTTTGCTTAGTTAATAAGTCAGTCAGTTAATTACTCAGCCATTTAGTTTGCCAGTAAGCTAGCTAAGTAGTTAGCTAGTTAGTTAGGTAGTTACTGTATTTCAAATTGGTTGCACCAGAGTGATGAATTTAGTATTTTAGGCTGCAGAGGTCAAAAATCTATCTTTCTGCTTTCAACATCAGAGTTCACAGCACAGGTAGATTGCTAAAGACTGATTAACTGTATAATGTGTAACGATGTTCACCTTCCATCCATCTACCTCTCCCACTCGCTCTCCCTCCCCCATATCCTATACTTACTGTATCTAACCTCTTTACATATTCATATGTTTCTGACTCTTCCTCAGTGTCTGTAAAATGTGTCTGTACCTGCAGGTCAGTTCCAGGCAGGCCAGTTTCAGCCAGCTATTCGAGTTGCCGACCTCCTCCAACACATCACCCAGATGAAATGTGGACAGGGTTATGGTTTCAAGGAAGAATATGAGGTGAATAGACACACACACACATACATAGGTTTATAATGACAACAACAGTAAAATAGGCATCTATCTTTAGATTGACAACATTACAAGCAGCTATTAGTAAGAAGGTCGAGGGGCTGCAGCTACAGCACCCAGATAATAGGTATAATAAAATGTTTGTGTGATCCCAGAATGTACAAATATAACTGCTCGTAAAACAGAGAGAGACAGATTTTCTTTTATAATAAGCACATGGGTATTGTGAAGCCCTAAACTGGACTGGCACCATGTCTGGGGTGTATCCTTGCCTCTTGTTAAGTGCAAGACGGGATATGCTTAAGCTGCCCCCTCGACCCTAAATAGAAGCTAGCAGGGGCACTGCAAAGTTTCTAACAATCAAAAGCAGGTTTGACTGAAAATTGATTTAATTGCACCACTACAAACATGGGAACACAGTAAATGGGATACTCTTTTGCCTTGAGGTGGCGTGTCATGTCTCAATCAATCAAATTCAAAGTCATTTGCATAAGAAAATAGTTAAGTCTTTAGATTTTCCTGTAGAATAATATTCAAGTGTTTCCCAGGGCACAGGTTATCAGTTTCCCATTTAAGATTCAATGAATAACTTCAAAACAAAATAAATAAATGCATCTCCAGCTGTATAGCTGGGTAATGCGGCATCCATATTCCTCTCTTTTCCTAGTGTCACTTCCTAGTTGTGTGTGTGTGTGTGTGTGTGTGTGTGTGTGCGCGTGCGCATGCCTGCATGTGTGTGTATGTATACTGAATGTATTTGTGTGTGAATAAGAGAATTTGTGGGATTAGTGTTGTTTTTATGAGGAAGGACGACTTATCAATTATTAACTCTTTGCCTCATCAATATTGATGATTAGAAAAACAAACAGGCAGACAGTAAAACAAACTTTCTGTCCCTTACTTTCTCTTCTCCCAGTTTCTCTTTCTTTCTTTTTATTTGTTTCTTTCTTGGTACATTTTTTTCTTTCCAGAATGTCATCACCAGTTTTATACATATATATTTTTCTTTTGCAAGGTTGTTTCTTCTCGTTCATCATTCCCTTTGTTCTCTCCTTCTTTCTCCTCCCCCAGTTACCATTTGTCCTCTCCTTTGCTCTGCTTAAATTATACTTTCTTCCTTTATTTTGCTTACATCGTGTTTCACTCCAGTAGTATTTTTTACTCTCTCATTCCATTCCTGTTTATTCTTCTCTTCTGTTCATCCCATCCCATTTATCTGCCTTTTCCTTATTACTACCTCCCAGCCCATTCTCTGTCTTTATACATGAGCCCTTGTTTTTTTTTTTACTTCGTCTTTCTCTCTCAGCCTGGGCTGACTGTTTATTTAGAGCACAGTTTATCACAAACAGACATTTTTACAATCATTCTTTGTCATGGGCGCTCTACCGTGGGATCATTTTCCTTCCAAATCCTCATTCCCTCGCTTTCATTCATTTATCCCTGTACCAAAACCTTCTTCCTTCCTGTCTTTATTCTTCCTTCATTTGCTTTGTCTCTGCTGCTGGAAATGAATCTTTGAAAAGACACAAGGAAGAGTCCGTCTCTCTCTATCTTCTTCTCCCTCCCGCCCTCAAAAGAACGAATATTTTCTATTACCAACTCTGCATGCGTGTTGAAAATTGTCCCTCCGTGATGCCGTACGTTATATTTTCATTTGCTTCCTGTCATTTTGGTTTATACCCACTGATACGTTTCAGGGGAGAGCAAATGTGATTTATTCTCTAGGGTACGTGTGTGTGTGTGAGAGAGAGAGTGTATGTGTGTGTGTGTGTGAGAGAGAGAGAGAAAGAGGCAGAGAATGGAACTTTATTACTAGCGCTGGTAGCTGCCACCTGTCACTAACAGCTTATGAAGAAAGACATACACTGAGCAGTATACATAAACACATATTATTCAAACAACATGTATATTATTACACTCTGTCTCTGTCTGTTTAAAAGTTTGTGTGTGTGAATAAAACTGGATGCTTACAATGCGTCTGTGGTGGAGTGTTTGTCCAGTTATGTCCAAGAGCACTTTGCATATGTGCGTATGTGTGTGTCCACCACCACACCCCATATGGTGTCTTCTTGTCCTCGTCTGCGTGTGATGTGACCTCCAGTGTCGAAGCCCATTACCCCGACTAACACCGACAGCAGCTACACTGTCAACATGCCGCTCCCCATTGGGATTACATTTTTTTGCATTTAAAGGAATATCCTGCATTGTTTGATTCAAGATTCAAGAAGCTTTATTTATCTAACTGAGCGCTGAGTACATACAATATAATAAGTTCTTATATCAAATGACAACATGGGGGGCTGTGTCAGTGGTAGCCACAGATTTAGTATTGAAATGTACTTTTTTAGAATTGTATATATGGTCCAAACTTTCTCCAGCTGATATTCTGTGAAACTAGATTTATTGTGGAGAACAAACGTGCTGGAAGGCCAACATGTTTCAGTCTGAGAGTTTTTAAATATATTTATTTGAATCATTGTTACCATTATTGCAGGAAAGAAAACTGAAGTGCCCACTCACTGGTACAACAGAGGCACTATGTGTTTGTTTGTGTGTGTGTGTGTGTGTGTGTGTGTGTTTCCCGTCCTCTCTCCACCCACCAAACTGTCTGTTTTTATATAGAATATTAATAATTCCAAAATTCAGATGAGAGGAGTTTGATTAAGACTATTTTTTAATTTCTTCAGGTTAAGAAAGTGCCACCAACCCACACCTTATGCAAATGTACAGGCACATGCACACACACACACACGTATGCGTAACACTCCTACAGACGCCTCCTACCTTAAAAGTAAAGAAAAAAATGTTTTTTTCTGTCTAGATTACGTAAATGAATATATGCAATACAGAAAAATCACACACACACACATACAGTTCATACACACACAAACACACACAGGCACACACTGTTGCGCCCATATGCCACTTTAAAAGAATCCATTTTCTGCTTGACTGAGCGATAAGTTTAGGTGTCTGTTTCTGTCACAGTGCATTTGTATAGTATAGTGTGTGTGTGTGTGTGGGTGGGTGTGTATGTAGGTCATATCACTGTCTGAAAGTAAAAGCTGTTGTCTGGTCTTCTTAAGCCCTTAATGGACTCAAAAAGGACTGTTCACTTGTCCCTATAGAGAGAATGACTGTGTGTGGGTATGTGTGTGTGTGTGGGTGTGTGTGTGTGTGAGTGTGACCTCTTCCAGTCTTTTATAAGGGTTGCTCTAAAATAGTTCAGTGTCCATATGGCGACCTTTGTGAGTTGGGGTTTGGTTGCTTAAGCACAAGCTCAAGAGTGATCTTACACACACTCACAAACACATTTTGTTATTATGAACACGTGGGACATGCACACATATAAGTGCATGACAAATTGTTATACATTTTCAAGCACTCACAACTATCTATAGTAAGTGTGTATAGGGAAATGTGTACTGGATATGTCTTTTTCATTATATAAAGTCCATGCATGCACACACATGAACACACATACATGCACAGTTTGTCCTTGCTATGTTTTGTAAGTCACAAAGGCCAACATCACACCAGGGAGAGAGGGCAATCTCTCTTCTCTCCTCCAATAAAATATTGACAGAATATTCTCTTTCAGACCAAACCATACGAACAATTTTTCATTTCAGACATGCAGGAATATTTTCTTTTTCCATCCACTGTCAGTAATTTTTAATTTAGTGTACAAATTCAAGCGCATTATCTCTGCCAATACAGTTGGAAGGGGGTTATGTTTTCATCGTAAGTGTCCCACAGTTACCTGGTCAAAGGATAAACGTACCTGATTGGGATTGTTGGGTCTGGGATTTCTCCCATTAGAATATTTCTGGCCTTAACATCTGTGCTCACATGCTATTTGGAAGGTCAAACATTTTGTACATTCAACTGTGCCATTGAGCAGCACTGCTTATATATACTTTTATAAGAGAAAATGACCAGGGAAACTAACAATAAAGGAAGTAAGTGAAGAGTTCTTCAGAGTCTGTAGAGGAGAAACGGACCTTGCACTTAGCTAAGTAACATCTAGATCCACTATTATACTCATTGCAACTACTCTTGGTATTACTTTCACATTAACTTAGACCTCTGGTCTCTGACCACTTTTGCAGTGAAAGTGAAACTAATTTGAGCTGTTTTTCATACCACTTGTAGAAAGTAGAAGAAAGCAGTCAATCATAAGAATGACAATAAGAAATCACACAATAAGTAAGTAAAAAAAAAGATTTAAATTAGTTTTGAAAGACCAGTTTGTAAGATTTAGTGAATTTTCAGATTGCGACCATTTGAAAATAGCTCAGGCTTCCAAGTGTGTAGAAGAAACTAAGGTTGCCCCAAAAACTCGCGACAAATGTGGAAGACCCTAGCCAGTGTTTGGTTTGTTAGTTTTGGGCTGTAAAACAGGACTTGCTCCAACTGTAGATAAATACGGCTCATTCTAAGGTAACAAAAACAATTCTTTTTTTCAAATGATTATACATGAAATTAAAACATACCTATGAATATTATATTCCATTTATGGCAATAGATCTTCCTAAATGTAACACACTGGACCTTTAAATATATTTTACATGATGAATTTGAATTAAAAACTTCTGGGCGAGCAGCTTTTTTATTTGTCTCTTTTAGTTTTAGAAAGTTAAATCACACGTGACCTCCCTGCAAGCTGTGCCATCTTCTGAAAACTCTAAAAACTCAGAGTTCTGTTATGTTTCAGCCATAATACACTGAGTGCCCTGAGTGGTAAAGAGTATGGTCTGTTGCAAACTATCAGTTGATTGTCTTTTCATTAATATTCATGGTGCTGTTTTAACTTCTGCCTGCCCATGTGTCCGTGTACAAGCTCTGGGCATCAGGCCATATGTGCATGCATATTTCTGTGTGTTCAATGACCTCATATTGAAACTATTGTGGTGTGTGTGTGTGTGTGTCGTGTGTGTGTGTGTACACCTGTGCACATGTATGTTCAGGCCCTGGCGGAGGGACAGACGGCGCCCTGGGAAACGGCCAAGAAAGATGAGAACCGCAACAAGAATCGCTATGGCAACATCATCGCTTGTAAGTACTGCAATGACTCAAATGGACTACTCCTACAGTAGTTTTTGCTGAAAATGGTTTTGATTTAATTTAGCTATAACTTGGCTGGCTTGGTGTGCTGTGGTGTGGTTTAGTCCAGTTTGGGTTGGTTCTGTATTGTCTATTTCAACTAATCTCTTTTAGTACTTGTTGGTCTTGTCTGGTTTGGTTTGGACTGATTCATTTGGTGCGAGCTAAATTGCTTTTTTCCCTCAATTGGGCTTTAGTTAGATGAGCTTGACTGACTTTAATTTAGTTAATTGGTTTGGTGTGTTTTAGATTTCATGGCTGTTTTCTGTTTCATGCTGTAGTGCCAGGTACTGGATAAAGAGACCTTCCGTCAGCTTCAGGATACAGCTCTTTACCTCTGTTCCAGCAACTGTCTGCCTCGCTGAAGTGTCCTTCAGCGAGGCAGAGTCACTAACTGACTCCCCCCGGCTCTGGGTGCGCCCTACTGTTGGACGTAACCACCCGCTGAGAGCCAGATGCCAGCAGAATGTGGTCTTGAATCAGTCAGGATACACTGAGCAGAACGTTTTTAAGAGATGATAACATTTTTTTTGAACATTTGACAGTCTCACTATCTCACTTCGATCAATGCAAAACAATATGTTTAATTGAAAATAAGATATACATATGCAAATGTAATAAGATCCCTTCTTTTTCAGAATGTTATATCAAAGTCCATTCAAACTAATTCCCTAAACTTCTGTAAGTCAGATACAGAAAACTACTGTGGCAAAAATAACTTTCAGTTTGCAGAGGGATTTTATTTCAATCCTGCTTGATGATCAAAGCCTGCAGCCTCTATTTTATGCAGAGGGACTTTTGTCAAAATTAAGCCTTATTTTTGAGCAAAGACAGGTTGCTGTAATGATGTGCAGAGTGAGGCATGTTCTGAATGTAGCGTATCTGTTCGGCCATTAGAGTGTGAATTAGCATGTGAATGTGATGCTGTGTCAAGTGTTTGCTATGATTTTGTGTGCACTAATGACGTCTTGTCTGATTGTATGTTCTGTAGATGTGTGTGTGTATACTTGTTATCTTGTACAAGGCAACTTCAGGCCTCTATTTAGCATAGAACAATAGAAGCAGATTGTATGGTTGAAATGTTATTGAATGGTTTAGGGATGTGTATGTGTGTGAATGTGTGTGTGCGTATTTGTATGTGTGTCTATGCCATTGGACCCACATGCACATACCTGACCAGTATGATCCAAATAATTGCGCCTGTGTGCTTAGATTTTTGTAATTCGAGTGTGTGTGTGTTTGCAAGCACAGATCCGTGTGTATGTACTCGTCTCATTATGAGGGTTTAGATGTCAAGGCAAAGACACTGCACTAACCTGAAGGTTTTAAAATGAAACATTGTGCTGAAATGAAATAGCCTGTCAAGGACTTGATAGCCAACAGGAATTATGATAAATTTGCTATTAGTACAAATCCTTTAATTACAAGGGCCTGGTAATGGAAACTGTCCATCTTGCTTGCTGTGATTGTACAAAGGCTCATTTCTTGAGAAAATGTTTTAAAAGCCCCCCAGGGACACGACTTTGTGCGCTGTCTTTATTAGAAGGAAATGTGGTGAGACAGGCAGACCGACTGGCTGCAGCTAAACTTTAAATATAGGTAAAAGGGTCTTCTGTCTTTTCCTTCCGTCAGCTTGAACTTTAATTCCCCTTTTGAAACAGTGGATTTGCTTAATAATAATAGCATGAATTCTCTCTTACACACACTGCTCTGCGTATGGGGCTGGGTTGCCTTGCCCCCAGCGCTAAACGTAACACTTTCCTAAACAATAAAGGTACTGTACTGTAACTTCAATGCATATTAGGATATAGGTTATACTTTCACTAGAGCCCAACTGATATGATATTTCTGAGTCCAATACCAATTTTAGAGGGGGAAAATTCACAGATTAGCAATATGGAGGACGATAAAATGAATGAACTTTTTCTATGTGGATTGTGCACCAATTTTGTACCGATATGACTATGGAAAGGTACTCAGAAGAATGCATTTTTCATATTGGTGCCTATCGAACACCAATACCATACCGTTTTATCTGTGACAGGCTTATATCGTCGATATATATCGGGCAGGCTCTGATTTTCACAGAGACATGACTTGTTTCAGAGCCATTGAATCTATACTGATCCACTACATGGTAAACATGTGACAATACGACATATATTCCATGAGACCAACGACTTAACCCTGGTGTTTTCAGTAGCAGGTAGCAAGTAGCTTGTTCCACTGAGCATCAACAGCTTGATGGATGCTTCACCAGTCAGTAAACAGTGGTAAATTGTTTAAGTGAGGATGTGACTCACTGCTTCTTGAAACACTGGAGATAGCTATTGAAAACCAAGCAATAGGCCAAAAATGTTGCATGCTTCTGCAACTCTGCGATGCATTCCCCACCTCAAACTGACACAGTAACCAATTTCAGTGATAAGTTTGAGAGCAATTGCATGTTTTTTGAATATTCAACACAAGTCTCCAGTTTGAAAACAGAAAAAAAAATCAAAGAAAATGGCAACACTCTAAGTGGCAGCAGGAAGGGTTTGTGTTTAAGTCTCACAGAAGACAGGGTTCAAATTAAATCTAGTGGTTAAAGTCGGATCTAGTTGACTGGAAAGTCATTTTGGTCTCCATCCATTGACAGCACCTCTAACCCAAGCAAATGCTCATTGAGCCTCGGCAGAACCAAGGGAGCTAAATTTATGGCCTGGCTTTGCAAGACTTAAACCAACACCCAAGATCTGACCATAAAAATCCCCTCAGAGGAAGCTGTGATAATCTTTCTATCCTTGTGAGGACATTTGACTCCCTGTGACTTCTTTGTCACACTCATCTTTCTCTTTCTCACACACACACCAACACATACTTTTCACTACCCCTCTCTCTGTCTCCCTCCCTCTCTCTCTCGTGCAGTTTGGAAAGGGCTGATTTGAGTTGAAGTGTTAACACTCTTCCTCCGGCCATCTGCCAAACACAAACGGTGGATGCCATGTTTGAAATCCCTTCAGCACACTGAATAAATGTTAATCTACCAGCCTCCTGTCCTCCCATCTCCTCACCGCTTCCCCTCCTCTCCCATCGCTCACTTACATTCCCAGCTTTCTTTCCTCCCCCTCATCTTGTTTCCTTCCCTCTCTGAACTTTTACTTCCCCCTCCTCTTTTGACCTCTTTCTTCTTCCTTCATCTACAATCTTATTTTCATTTCTGTCTTTTCTCACCAATCACACTCTTTTCACCTTCCTGCTCTTCTTTTTTATCCTTCTTTTGCTCCATCCTTAGCTTTTTCCCCTCTCATCCCTCATTCACTCTTGTCCACCACCTCCCTCTCCTTTTTTCTCATTGTCCCATGTCTTTTCATCTCAACTCTCCTTTCCTTGAAATTTTAACCTCCTTAAATCCTCCTCTTCTCTTCCATTTTTACTCTCACACATCTCCCTTTTACTTCCCTTATGCCTCTCTCATCTTCTTAACTTTTTCTCGCCTTTCCTTTCTTTCTTTTCTCTCCTTTCCTGTGCTCTCTATCCATCCATTCATCCTGTCTGATTACCTCTGACAGAATATGGGTTGAGGCAAAGCGCAGTAGTGTTTCCTCATTACAGGCATCTGTCTGCTTCTATTTCCTCCTCCCTCCCCTCCTTCCCCTCTTCTTAGTTTCTTTTTCTCCTTCTTTTTTCTTCTCCTTCTCAGCCCTCGGTTCATAGAACAACCTTCCCATATGGTCATTTATAATTCAACAGAAGCATGCCTTCAAAATAAACAAAATTTATTGGCAAGCATTAACATATGTGGAAAGAGGGGGCGTGCATGCTTGTGAGTAACTATATGTGTGTGTGTGTGTGTGTATAGGTGTGTGTGTTATCAAAGAGTGTTAAGGTGATGTGGTGTGCTTTTTTTTTTGTTACATTGGTCTTCATGTGCACTCCTACACAGCATATTTGTTTGTTCGTGTTTTGTCTATGTTATCCCGCCAGTTAGCTAGCGCTTTTGCAATGCAATATTCATACTCTCAACTCACAGTTGTAATATTATTTTCAATGAGGCTCAGCACTGTCAAGACAGCTTGCTATTGGTCAGTGGCACACATTAACATGTCAACATTCACCAAAGTAAAAACTCTACGTGGAACATTCACATGGATGGATTTTGCTTCCTTAAAACGGATCATCTGTTTGCAGAAGTTCCATTGTAATTGTTTTTTGTTTTAAATCCTTGTGTGAATGGACCTTTAGCCTACAACGCTCTTTACTGAAAAAACAATCCCACTGTCTAAAAAAAAGCAGTATTAAAGATTAGACACGTTAGTTAAGTTAGGCAAGAAAGCATTGTAGGAATTTTCATTGCAGTTTTTATTTTGCAGAAAACTCTTCTGAATATTCTTCCTGACTGCTGAGAACAAGCTGACAGCTTGCCGTGGGTTGATTATTGTGGAGACAAGTTTAAAGTATAATGTCAAATGTTTCAATTTAAAATGAAGTTATATAATGGGTCAACAAGCTTCTATTTCACTCTCTAAAATGTAAATGTTTCTCTCTTTTCTCTCTGCTGTTTAGACAGCATAACATGCATTCTAAAGTCACCATGGTGTTTATATAATATAACATTCAGAAACAGTCTGTCTAACCTGCACATTTGTAATGATCATTGATTTCCTCATCGATTTCTTCAAACTGCTTCTGGGATTACTGCACAATGAACCAGAGAAAAGTCAAAGGCTTTCCTTATTGAGTAGAGTACATTTCTCTCAGACAAGCAGTCTATTGCCTTTATGTCTTTGAGTCATTTAACTCTGGAGAATTTTGATTCCCTTCACCCCTCTAAGCTTCTACCAAAAACAATATGCCTTCCCAAATATAGATATACCCACATTTCTTTTGCATGCTTGAGCAAAATTGCTGCACTTTTGCTCCCCAATAGGAGTGGATTGAAAACTCAACAACTTATCGGCTGATAGAAATAA